AAAATAAAAACATTATTTAACCACAGTGAGAGATGCTCAGTCTTATTCATAACAGGAAAAATAAGCATTAAAAAATAATACTGCCTATCAGTTTATACATTTAAGAAATGTGAATAATATTTAGCATGGAGGAAAGTATGAAAAAACATGATTTTAAATATATTTTGGGGGCAACATAACAGTATAGCCTCTTTGAATTGAAATTTTCAATCATTACAAAAATTCTAAATGAAATGCCCTTTAATTCAGCAATTACCCTTTCAGGAATTTTTCCTAGAAAGGTACTCAAAAATATGCACAGGTGTGTGTGAAATGTTATTCATATCACTATGTCTTAATAGCAAAAACTAAGAAACAAATATGCATTGGGAAAAATTAAGTCAGTTAATAATTAGATTTTGTCTATATACTCATGAGCCACAATGCAAGCAGCTACTTATAAAAATCTGACTTTATGAAATATGATATGCAATAATCACTAAGATAGTTTCTCAAATGCAAAACTTCACAGAATAGTTTGTATAGGTTCTTAAATACGTCTTTTTAAAAGATGGCTCACAGGAACTGTCCATATTTATTATTGGACCTGCATAGAAATTAAAAAAATATATAGTCATAATTTCTTCTACAGGTGGGCTGGGGAACTTTTAGAGTGGAGAGGAGGGAATATTACATTTTTGTACTCTTGTGTTAATCATTTACAAAGTACTTATGATGCTGGTTTTGAAAAAAACACTGATATTACTTCCTGTGTCCTGTTTCTATTAAACATGAAGATATTGGAACCCTAAACCTTCTTCTCTCATTTTTCTTTTTCCTTTGACAGCATCTGCATTTTTCCTTGCCTGGTCCATTGCTATAGCTTTGGGGATCCATTTCATTGTAATGGTAATGATATGCAGTGCCACGATCATAAATTGTAAGTGATAACAGAGAAGTAGAAAGCAATATTCTCGATCGAATGACTGCAGTGCATTGCATTTATTAGTATACAAAAGCACAGAAACATAAGCTAGCAATATTGAATGTGTCCTTTGCTGTTAATCTAGAGATTGGTCAGCTACTTTTGGACTGTAACAATATTAACTCTTTTAATAACTATGATTATTTTAATAGCATTTTTCAACCAAGGAGCTCCAATTTCTTTGAAAAGTAAGCGAAGGTTTTCTAATATTTTGCAGCACAAGTTGCATGCATCTATACATACTTGGGTGTAAGTATGTATCCGATGGTGTTAACAAGAGGCTGTACAAGAAAATGATTAGGTCTTGTCCCTAATTCACTGTAGCTTTTTTTATTTTGCATTTTTTAACAATGAAGGAGTACTTATAAAAATTAGAGGGTGCTTAGTTTGTCATCTCTCTCTCTTCATATATATATATATATATGTGTGTGTATGTAGAGATAGGCCATTAGGCATGACCATAAAGGTTTAATTATCTGGATTTTAGAGTTGGAGTAAAAAAGGTACTTAGCTTGTCCGTAACAAAATCTGCTATAATTTTCAGAGCTGTGCAGGATAAATAACATACTCTCCCTTTCTAGAAAGTTACTGTGGGCCATGTCCTCAAAACTGGCTGTTATAGAAAGAACTGCTACCAGTTTTTTAATGAAAGCAAAAGTTGGTACCAGAGTCAGGCTTCATGTATGTCTCAAAATTCCAGTCTCCTTAAGATACACAGTAGAGAGGACCAGGTGGAGTATTTGTTTTAAGTCCCCTTCCTATATTTAGTCCTAACATATGAGGCAACTCACTGGAATGTGAACCTAAAGTATAAGAAAGCACCAAAACTCAGATACACTAACCCCAAATCTTTCTGTGTTAAAAATAAGAGAGCACAGAAATTCCAGGTATTGTGCATGTGTTGTTTAAGTCAGAATTATGCTAGAGGACAGAGAATGCATTCCAAGCATGGAAAAAAATGATTAAATAAGTATGGTCTTATATTTATTAAAATTCTAAGCACTGATTTTATTTGTGGTTTCGAGCAGGATTTCTTTAAATTGGTGAAATCATATCATTGGATGGGACTAGTAAAAGTTCCAACAAATGGAACCTGGCAATGGGAAGATGGCTCCATTCTTTCACCTAGCCAGTAAGTCTCTGTACCAATAAGTCTCTATTTGTAGATTTAAGGCATTCTTATGATTATTCAAGTATCACACTTTCCTTCATGCAATTCCAGGATGTTCCCACATCCTAATAGATTCAGAAAAAATATCTTAAAGCCTAAATACATTAGATTGTGGAGCTGAGCAGCCTATACCAATACTAATGAGTAACACGGTCATGTCCTAAGTACTGTGCAAGATACTAGGCCGATTTTACAGATAAGGAGACTAAAGCGGAAGAGTTAAGTATCTTTCTTGAAGTTACATAATTTCTTGAAAGCTGAAAGGAAAGGAGCGACACACAGCAGCAATTCACCGGAGAATTCCGCTTTATTAGGGAAAGGTGCTGGGTTATATAGGAAGGGGCATGAATTGATTGAGGTGTCACTTCTACGGGGCTGGTGGCTGTTGGCTAGGTGCTGGGATTGGGAGGGGGGCGAGAGGTGATTGGGCTTCAGGTGGCGCCGGCGGGAACTGAGGAGCCCAAAGAGAAGCCGGAAGTTTGCCATCTTACTGGTGGGGGCCCTTCAAAAGCTATTACCAGATTTGCTGAGATATAATGGATATCCAATGAACATTCAATAAATAGATATGCACATATTTAAAGCATACAACTTTTTGTTAATAATTTTAGCTTTAATATATGAATTACATTAATACCTCACATTACATATATGAAGCCAAATTACACTTAGTTGTTTACAACCTCAAATCTTATTCCCAGTACACATTCCAATAAATTTATTATGTAAAAACAATATACTTTTTTGTTTTTGATATTTTTTTACAGTAAACTTTTCAACTACAAACCTCGAATACACAAAATGATGTTCCCAGAACAAGCATAACAGGATTGGTCAAACCCAAACTGACTGAAAGTGTTCTCACAATATGAGCTGGCATAAAAATAAATAAAATTCTCTATTATCATAAGAGCAACAATGTACACATAATAATAGTGTGTGGATGAATATTAACTATTCTAGTCCTAGTTCCAAACGAAAACAACTGTTCACTTTAAAAGTCAATGCCTTTTGTGGTTTTCCATAGGGCGGATGCTGATTCCAGATTTCAAACGTAAAGAACCCACCTTGTGTGATCAGCTCAAATTGTACTGGCACTGGGTGGAAAAATAAACCACTGCCTTTATTTTGGAATAACAATAAACTCACTAACTTCACCTGTGGAAACCGAGTTTATGTATGTAACAACATGAGTTTTGAGAAGTATATGCTGCCAACTAGCTATTTCTAATAGGGAAGGTATTTTACAGTATGATCAAACTACACATGGCCTCAAACTGAAGGGCAATTTTAATTTAATCTTCAATACGCCAACATTACATATCTAGGAATTGGTTCCTGGGTTCTGTCATGGAGAGGCTGTCCCTTAAGCATTATGAGTGGGTGCTTAAAAAATGCTAACTTATATTTAACTGAGTGTTTGGTGATGGTGGAGTGAAGGCAGGAGAATGAAGAACATAACTGCCTAGATAAAAGGATCCTGTGCAAAAATCTTTGTAATTCTTACTGGTTAAGGGCAACTTCATGCAACCAAGTAACATGAAACTAAATCAATAACCTTAAAAAAGGCTAAAATGTCTTTTTCCCCCAAAACACAACAGAGAGGAATGTGAATAATGTACATACAAACCGGGGTTCTGTCAATGACAAGGCCGTGTTGGTTCTTACCGAGTCCAAGAACATCAGACAAGCAAACGTGCAGCCCTCTCGGGGTTCCCCTTGCCGCGCAGCGCTCATCACGGTGGTCGGGCCCCTTCACGCTCCGCCGCGGGTCGAGGGCTGTGCTCCGCGTCGTGTCGGCGTCTCCGCCCCCGGAGCTGCTCATTCCCCTCTTCCGTGGGGTCCTTGTCGTCTTCGTCTCCGGGCGATTCCCGGGAGTGGTCAGAGGGCTTGTTTGAGTAGTATGACTCTGTCCCTTCGGAACCAGCTTCCCCGTTCCTTCCCTTGCCGTTTCCGTCTCCTGGTCTGTCACCTCCGTCCTCACCGCCTGCATCGGCCCGTCTCCACCTCCTCCCTCCGTTTCTGAAGAGCTCTGGTGCCGAGGGGCCTGGGATCCAGGAAACTGTACTCCCGGGATATTCTCTATTTCCCGCAGTCCTGCATTAAATCCTTGCCGTTTGTTTGACTTTCCAAACTTGCCTTTGTGTTCCTTATACGGAAAAAGGTCTTTGGGACCTAGAACTGCAGGTGCACGGGTGCCAAGAAGAGGGGTCCTTGTTTGCTGGAGGCCTCACAGCCCCTCCGGGAGTTCCTCGTCCTCGGTCGCCGAGGACACTCTGGGGACCGCTCCGCCAAGGGGGTGCGGCGAGGCGGCTGCGGGGCGCGGCGGGCCCGGCGGCGGGGGAGGGGCGCCGTCCAGGCCCAGGTCCGCACAGGCGCGCCTCCCGCCTCCCGCCTTCGCCGCCAGCCTCCTCCGGATTCCTCCTAAAGCATACAATTGGATACATTTTGACAAATACATACAGCCACGAAAGCACTAATAACATCAAAACATTTAACATATTTGTCATCTGTAAAACTTTCCCTTTGTACCTTTGTAATCCACCCTTCACACCGCTTCCTACCTACTCTTTCTGCTCCCGGGCAACTAACCTGCTTTCTGTCACTATAGGCTAGTTTGCAATTTCCAGAATTTAATGTAAATGTAGCCCTCCAGTAGGTACTGTTTTCGTGTATGGATTTTTTCACTCAGCACAATTATTTTGAGATTCAGGGACCTCCTAACACGTATAAAGAGTTAATTTCTTTTTTTACTTTTGAGAGTTATTCCACTTGTGGGTATAGCTCAATTTGTTTTCTCCTTTCCCCTGTTCTTGGATCTTCATTTGGGTAGTTCCCACTTGTCGACTATTAAAAATAAAGCTACTTGCTATGAATATTTGTGCAGCAGGCTTTGTACAAACATAGGCTTTCCTTTCCCTTACATAAATACCTAGGAGTGGAATGACTGAATTGTATGATAGGTATATGTTTAACTTTCTGAATACCTGCCACAGTATTATCCAAAGTAGTTGGATCCTGTTGCATTCCCCCTAGCAATGTGTGAGCCCTCTAGTTGCTCCACACCCTGAAGGTCAACACTTGTTACAGCGCATCTCTTACATTTTAGCCATTCTAACAGATATGTAGTAGGATCTCATTGTTTTAATTTGTATTAAAACACAGAGAAGACAAGTAGTGATTCTACAGCATCTTACTGCGCTGATGGACAGTGACTGTAATGGGGTATGTGGGGGGGACTTGGTGATGGGGGGAATCTAGTAACCATAAGTTCCTCATGTAATTGCAGATTGATGATATCAAAAAAATATATATATATTGACAGCCTTTAAAAAAAAAACACTTGCAAGGAATAAAAGCCAACAATTAGAGACTTTATCTTTTATAACAATGTTTGGTTTAATTTTTCCAAATTTTGAGTAGTGAACGGATTCATTTTTAAATTTAAAGAACTGTGCTGATGCTACCCAGGGTTGAAATAAATTTTAAACCATAATTTTATTACATATACACAAATATTAAATTTACAAGTCTTTTCAAACTTTCAAACTTGAAACTTTAGAAAATTAAGGGAGTTTAAGGCTGGCTGAACGGTCTATGAGGGTTCACTAAACTTGCTATTTTTGAAACTCTTCAAAATAAAAGTTGAAAAATCAGCAAATACACCCTTGAAATTTCAAAATGACACTATCAGTTTAACATAGCACCTGACAGGTTTGGCAGGAATTGAATTACTCCTTTCAATAAGAATATGGCACTGACTGCTAGAAAACAAAAAATACAGGCATACTTGATTTTACTGTGCTTCACCTGATTGTACTTCACAGGTTACTGCTTTTTTACAAATTGAATGTTTGTGGCAATTGTGCTTTGAATGAGTCTATTGATGCCATCTTTCCAACAACATTTGCTCACTTACTGTTTCTGTGTTACATTTTGGTCATTCTAGAAATATTTCAAACTTTTTCATCATGATTCTATTCGCTGTGGTGGTCTGGGATCAGCGATTACAATTTGCTGAAAGCTCAGATGGTGATTAGCATGTTTCAGTAATAAAATAATTTTTTGAATAAGGTATGTACCTTGCATTTTTAGACATAGTGCTATCCCACACTTAACAGACTACAGTATGGTGTAAACTTAACTTTCATATGCACTGGAAAACCAAACAATTCGCCAGACTCACTCTACTGCAGTGGTCTGGAGCCAAACCTGCAATATGTCCGAGGTCCTCGTGCAAAGAATCAAGTTTGGGGAGGACTTACAAGGCTTCTAAGGGGAAAAAGAGCACCTGAGTTGAAACCTGTAGAGTGGCTCAAAGTTTTCTGGGCAAATTAGTAGGAGAGCAGAATTTTCAGCAAATGGAACAACACCTGCAAATGTGCAGAAGTTGGAAGGGTCTGTGACAATAAAGAAAGCCAGTTTGATCAGAGCAGAATGATAGAGAAGACAAGCAGCAAAAGAAGCCGAGAGACAAGCAGAAGCTAAATCATGCAAGGCTTTGCAAAACCTACTAATAATTCTGGATTTTATTCTAAGCACAGTCACCATTTGTGTGTGTTATGAAGGGCATGAAGAACTGGGCTGAACAGAATTTTAGGGGGAAATTAATCCAAAATGCCATCAGGAAATTTTTTTTATATTTCACATAGTCAATCAAGGGCTGAGGAATCTACTGGCCCAAATTACTTCTTAAATGATTGTGTGAAGCTGTAGGAGGCAACACCAGAATTAACAAAATCTAACATTTAGTCACATAACTTTAAATAAGAGTTTATTATTAATTATTTAAGGCATAGAAGCATGCAAAAGAGCCCATATATTTGCTTTGAAAGAATAAAGCAACATTCATTGGCCTATGCTTCTGTTTCTAGAATTAAGTAAGGGACAATAGTCTGATATTAGTTTCCACTGAAAGTCACAAAAACAGTGCTATTAATATTCCTGTATAATATATTACATTTAGGGAAAACATTGCTAAACCAACAGGATGGTAAAACTCTAGAATCTTAGAATTCAGTGGAAATGGGAATCTCAAGTGAAAAAACAACTACAGAAACAGGTTTTCATTCTGAGGATTTATAAAGAAAACATGGGA